CTTGGCCAGGGGGCCTAAGTAGTTGGTGGTGCAAGAGGCATTGCTGACAATCTTGAGGGAGTTGTCATACTTCTCGTGGTTCACGCCCGTCACAAACATGGAGGCATTAGCACAAGGGGCAGAGATGATCACCCTTTTGGCACCGCCCTTCAAGGGAGCCCCAGCCTTCTCTACGGTGGTGAAGACACCAGTGGACTCTACAACATACTCAGCACCAGCCTCACCCCACTTGATGTTGGCTGGATCTCTCTCCTGGAAGATGGAAATGGCCTTCCCATTGACAAAAAGCTTCCCATTCTCAGCCTTGACAGTGCCATTGAACTTGCCGTGGGTGGAATCAGACTGGAACATGTAGACCATGTAGTTCAGATTAATGAAGGGGTCATCGATAGCAACAATATCCACTTTGCCAGAATTGAAAGCAGCCCTGGTGACCAGGCGCCCAATGCAGCCAAATCTGTTCACTCCGACCTTCACCATTGTGTCTCCGGGATGCAGCTGGGACTGCACAGGAGGGGGAGAGGCGGCTGTCTGTCGCACGAGGAGGAGCAGAGAGCCCATAACTTACTTTTATTGAACTTCATTTCACACATTTACCATTCTTTCTTATTCCAAACTATTTAATGTTTATATCTTAAAGCATTGGATTGAACTATATGGGCCATGTTTATTGCTGAAGTCATTAAGTGTGTAATTTATGAAGCCATTAAATGTAATGGAAATCACTCAAAAGAATGATAGATTATAGTTTTCTAATTTTTTAGGGTTCTACCATAATGTCTAATTTTTTGGAAGACGTTAATCTTTAAGCTATACTAGGTGTCAACACTTTTTGTTCATTAATTCTTTTTTGGTAGAAGAGATATTTTCCCTTGAGACTTCTTTTTCTTTTTAATAATTTCATTGGGGCCTTGTGCAACTTATTGCAATACATACGTACATCCATTGTGTCAAGCACATTTGTACATTCATTGCCATCATCATTCTCAAAACATTTGCTTTCTGCTTGATCCCTT